GTAGAACCAAGTAATATGAAGTCCTTGACAAATTCAGTCTTTTCTCCATCCATTGTGAAGCTGTTCATTGGACACAGAGCAACTGGTGGGTTCGAACTGGAAACTTCTGATTAGCAGCTGAATCCCTAAAGCACTGTGCCACCAGAGTTCCTTTGTGAAACCACAAGATAGTGAATCTGTCATCACTCCATAAAGTTTCCTCATGCCCCTTTGAAATCTTTACCTCCATCTTCCTTCCGCAGGCAACCACTGACCTGCTTTCAGTGCATGGGTTAGTTTGCATTGTCTAGGTTTTTCTGTAAATGGAACTGTGTACTCCAGTGAAACCTGTGAGAGCTGTAACTTGGTAAGACTGCCTTGTTTTTCCTGGTCTCACAAGTTTCCTGCCTTTGTCAGATGTATTATATTTGTCTGTCGTTCCCTATTAGTGGAAAATATTCACGTTTTCCTTCTCAACAGGTTTCTGCCTTACCCAGGTTCCAGCTTTCACAGGTTTTACTGTATGTGGTCTTTTTTCTGACTCCTTTCTCTAGCCATGAATCAACAGTTTGTTTCCTTCTATTGCTGAGTAGTATTACATTAGGAGCTCTGGTAGCATAGTACCTGAGGCACTTGACTGCTAACCAGAAGGCTAGCAGTTCAAACCCACCGCCACTCCTCAGAAGGAAGGTTGGGCAATCTACTTCTGTAGTGATACTGCCTCGGAAACCAAAGGAGGGGTCACCATGAGTCGGGTCCGACTCGATGGCACACAGCAACAACAGTATTACATTAAAGAGCTCTTGGGGCACAAATCCCCAAGCACTTGATTCTTAACTATAAGGTTTCAGCCTGCCCAGCAGCTCTGCAGAAGGAAGACCTGGCAATCTGCTTCCGTAACGATTACCGCCTAGAAAACACCATGGGACATTTCTGCTGTGTTACTTGGGGTTGCTGTGTGTTGGAATCAACTCCATGGCACCCAACAACAGTATTACACTGTGTATGTATGTACCATAGTTTGTATATCCATTCATCTGTTGTATAACATTGAAGTAGCTTCTACTCTTTGGCTATTATAAGTAATACTCTTTGCTGCTGTGAACATTTGCTTCCAAATTTTAGTGTGGAGATATATTGCTTTTCTCTAGGGTAAATAGATACCTGAGAGTGGATTCCCTGGGTCATATGGTAAATGTTAGTTCTAAGAAACGTTTCCAAATGGATGCCCCATTTCATATACCCACCAGCTATGACTGAGTGTTCTAATTTCTCCACATCCTCACTAATCCTTATTAGCACCTATGTTTTTGCTTTACCAGTACTTTCTCTCAGTCTGTGGCTTGTCTTTTCATTCTCTTCACATTTTAATTTTGTTGGAGCCAGTTTATCAATTGTTCCTTTATGGATTTTGCTTTTGGTGTCACACCTAAGAAATCTTTGCCAAATCCAAAGCCACAAAGATTTCCTCCTACATTGTTTCAGAAGTTTTAGGTTTTACATTTTGTTCTGGGATCCATATTATTTTTTTAATGTGGTGAGAGGTATGGATCCAAGTTCGTTGTTTTGCATTTGGATATTCAGTTTTCAGCACCATTTTGCTAGCCTGTTCTTAATACGTGTTGATCTTGCCATGCCCTGATGTGGACGTCACTCTTGTTTAATGGATTAGGAAGCTGTGGTTCCAAGAGGTTAAGTGATTTCTGCAAGGCTAGTCAGTGGTTGGGTAAGTTGAAACTAGGTCTTCAGTTGCTTACAACTCTTTATTTCTATGGTCCCCTAAAGCCAAATCAAACCTGTGCTGTCGAGTCGATTTTGAACCATAATGACCTATGGGACACAGTAGAACTGCCTTTTACAGTTCGTTTGCAGAAGCATTCTTCTACATCTCTCTTCTGCAAAGCAGTTGGTCAGTTTAGAACCACTAACCCTTTGGTTAGCAGGCAAGCATTTAACCACTGTGCCACCAGGACTCCTTATGGGTTCCCTAAAGAATGTTTATTACCTTTTTTTTTCCTCCTGATTATAAAAGTAACTAAGTTTTGTGGAAGTCTTGAAGGCCAGATCAATAAGCCAGTGTGAAATATAATATGTTGTTGTTGTTTGCCGTCGAGTCAGCCCTGACTCATAGCGACCCCTCCTTGGGTTTCCAAGGCAGTATCACTACGGAAGTAGGATTGCCCAACCTTCCTTCCGAGGAGTGGCTGGTGGGTTTGAACCGCCAGCCTTCTGGTGAGCAGTCAAGTGCCTTAGGCACTATGCTACCAGAGCTCCTGTGAAATATAATATAGAATCTGTAAAAAGTGTTTAATTCTGTGATGATTATTTGAGAAATAATAAAGTCGTATCTAAAATGATAAAGGTATCAGTTAAAAGATCTTTCAGGATTCAACAAATATGTCTTTATTTCTAACCTGAATGCGTTAGGTATAGTAGAGATAATAGCTAACATTTATGAAGCATTGGCTGTATTTTCCTTGGTCAGGTCCAGTCGTGAATGGTTTATGTGCTTGTTCTCCTTTTGTGCTAGTTGTAAGCAGCATTTTTATCCATATTTTACTGTTAAGGAAACCGAGGCTTGGAGATTGATGAAGTAAATTACTTTTCCAGAGCTCTTCCTGTTAGCCACTTCATAATACTGGTCTGTTACAAATGGCTAACTGACATCTGTTCAGAACTCCTTTGTAAGTGACTGTGGTGGTTATTTCTGTGTGCCCCTCCTGATGTGGATTCTGTTGTCTGACTCTCTTGGGGCAGATCATGATTGGCTGAAAAAAGAGCAGCAGCGTGCACCTGCATTTCCACAGAGCTGAAAAGAAGAGGTGGCCATAACAGGAGGTTCTGGACAACATATCTCCTAGTTATTTAGTAATACAGCTTTTAAAGTATACAATTTGTCTAAATCATCCACTGTAGCATTAATCCAGAAGGATGAAGCTCCATGAGTACCAACTGCTAAGAGTATTTCTAAGCATGTGTTTTAGAGAACTAGTTCTTTGATAATTAGAGATCCTTTAGCCACTGGAGAATCTCTTGAAAACTGTGGATCCTCTCCTAAGAAAAATTCGTACAATTGTACTTGGTTAAATATGAGGAATAGCTTGCTTTGATGTAGTGCATAGAGATTGTTTCTGTTTGCTGGCTTTGCTTGTACTTACAGAAAACCTTGATTTTCATTACATTCCATTTTTATTCTGTTTTGCCTGGTAAGCTGCCTAATGGTGTCACTTACCACACTGGGACATACCAAGACCGGTTAGCAAAACTCCAGGATCATCTTCGGCAACTTTCTATCCTCTTCAGGAAGCTGAGACTGGTCTATGACAAATGCAATGAGAACTGCGGAGGGGTGGACCCCATTCCAGTGGAGGCAAGTTTCACTGTAGGGGCAGTGATTGTAAAATGGGAGATAGTTTCACGACATGGTTTTTTTTTTTTTTCTTTTCCTTCTCTATTTTAGCAGTAGTTCCAGCTTTTGAATTCTCTCAGTTTGGTCTTTGGCCAGAGTAGGTGAAAATGTGATATAGTATACACAGAATTATTACTATATTTTCATTTTAAAAACTTCTTTTAGATTCTGACCTCCAGGTTTATAATGATTAGTCTAGTTTTGTTTTGTTTTGTTTTGTTTTGGTGCTGGCAGGGGGTTGTCTGTAGCAGTTTTATCAATGTTGTTAATGTCTCCTGTTAATTAATGTTGTTGTTATGTGCCCTCGAGTTGGACCCCACTCATAGCAAACCCTCCTCGGGTTTCTGAGGTGATATCACTACAGAAGTAGATTGCCCCATCTTCCTTCCGAGTAGTGGCTGGTGGGTTTGAACTGCCAGCCCTCTGGTTAGCAGTCAAGTGCCTTAGGCTAGAATTCTCTCCTTCATGTACCTGGGGGCTTCAGCAAATAAACTTCATGAGACATTTAATTAAATTCCGTTAGAAGTTTCATGTTTATATATATATATATTTTTCTCCTAGGAAACTGTTCTTAGCAATTAGAAGAAGTGACAGTATCTAGACGTTTGCACAGACACTCAGGTTCCACTTGGCACATTGTTATTTATAGAATGCACATCCAGGAAGTCCCTTTCTTTCTAGTATAAATGAAGGAAAGCTTGTCTGTGGTGTCTTACCTCACTTGACTAGAAATTCATTAGGTTCTGACCCCTAAGGAACCTGTCTTATTAGCATTGTTGGCTTTTCCGTGCCTCACCCTGTGTCCGGCAATTCAGTATTTGCTGAGTTAATGAGTCTGTGTCGGCTGTTCCTTAGCTGTGAAACCAGTGTCATGAAGGCTGTTTAGCAAGAGAAGCCATTGAAAAGCTAAGGAAGAGAGCAGATGGAAGTGATAAACCGCTAAGGCTGTGGCTCCCAACCATCACCTGAACTGAGATGTGTTTTAGACCATTAAAAGAAAAGCATGAAAATTCACCTTAATCTGATACATTGTTTGTACCAAAATAATTGTAAAATTAGTGTCGTAGTTTTGACTTTCAACTGTTGTTTGTACCTCCCAGCAACTTATCCCATATGTGGAAGAAGATGGCTCAAAGAATGACGACCGGGCTGGCCCGCCACGTTTTGCTAGTGAAGAGAGGCGAGAAATTGCCGAAGTAAATAAAGTGAGTTATTTGTCTGCACATTTTACATTTCAAAATTATCAATAAAAATTATAAGAGAATCTAATGTAACTCAAAAACTTGAATTACAGAAATACCTGAAGTTCTTTACGTGACAAACTTAACCTATTTAGAATATAACCCAAAACTAAAAAGAAAAGCAGAATTGCCGGCTGAGTGGTCAGAAGAGACATCAAATGCACGCGGGAAAGCTCTTGGACACTCAGTCACAGCCCATTTGCTGTCTCTTCTCCAGGCAGAGTCCTACCTTCTAGCTTACAGTGTGTTTGGAGCAGCAATTGATAAGTGTCCAAATAGGAAACATGAGTGTCTCAACATCTAAGAAATCATTATCACAACATTACCCTAATCGCCGCCACACCTCAGAAAAAGCTCCAGACTCGAATGTATTTCCTGCTGAGTCCTTCCAGAGGTTCCGAAGATCATACTCAGATAATGCTCACGAACCATAGGAAGTAAGGCTACTAAAACCTAACAGAATAGCACACAGTGAATAAAACAACCTCTCTGTCTCTCTCACACACCTCCCTGCAATTCTTAATTCTAATTGGTAGATTCTTCAGTGTATTAACACTTACTCCACCACAGCTAAAGAGGTTTTGCCTGAGGTATGTGAGATAGTTCAGTTTGCACATTAGTACGCAATCTCAGCAGTTACATTGGGGAAGAGGTTTCTTCTCGGCTGTCTAAGGACGTTTGGGGGAGGCAGTGTCTCTCTGCTGCTGAAGGTGGTTCGTCGGCTTCTGTGCTCTGGGTCTTCAGCCTTTTCTTTTCATTATTTATCCCTTTTCCTCTCTCCCCACTGTTTTCTTCCTTCATTATTTAAACATGTTCTAGTCTCTCCACTTGGGGGAGAAAAAAACAAGAGCCCTGGACTCCATCCTGCTTCATGCACTACTTCCTTTCTTGCTTCAGAATTTTGATAAAGTCTCTTGATAAAAGGAATGACACAACATAGATACTGTGCTCTTATAATACTTTAAATTAATTAAAATAGTTGCAACAATAAACATTAAGCAGGTAGCAATTAATTATCTCAGTGATGTCTAAACTATACTTTAAAGGTTTTGAATAATTAAGAGGATATATGAAGTTTCTAAGTGAGACAATAAATCTCATAAAAATGCCAGTCTTGATTATTTCCTAGTTTTAATTTCATAACAACAGAAAAACATGGACGTTTTCTTAAAAGTACAAAAAATAATAGGGTTTTAATATAATTTCAGTCCACATCCAAATAGGATTTTTTTTCCTTGAAAGTATAAAAGAATACCAAAGAAAATTCTAATAAATAAACAGCTATCAGGTATGTAATGCTGGCACTAGAATGGACAGGTTAATAAATAATGGCCACAGAAATAGCCTTCCTATTGTATATAAGAATTTAATATGACACAGGAGGGATTTTGTGGAAAATTATTCTTTGAAATAGACACTTCTGGGGGAAATTAAGCTAGCCTTTATATCACACCATATGTCACAGTGAATTTCAGAGTTGAAAATAAAACCTGCAATACAAAATACTGGAAAATTACAAATATATCTCAGAACTCAAGAGAAAATTAAAAAAAGAAAAATGGATAGGTTTTACAAAGTAAAACAGAGCATTGTAATACTTTGTTAAAAATACAGATTAGAAGAATATTCACAGCAAATTTGATAGTAATGGGTGACTGTCATAATGATTAACTCACCTTAGGAAATGGCTAAGGTGATTGGGGATTTTTAATTTAGATCTTGAATAATGATTAACTCACCTTAGGTAATGGAGGAGATTGGGGATTTTTAATTTAGATCTTGAAGAGTAAATAATGTTTCCCAGTCCAGTGATTTGAGACATTCATTTATTAAAAAGTACAGGTAGACATTACAGTTTATGACATATTTGAGTTAACAACAAACCACACTTAAGACTCTTTTTTTTTGGATACATCTTATCATTAATGATGTGTACTGCATACAGTGTGGCAGGGTGTCGTTTGCTGACAGTACCATTCATTTATATGTAATGTTTCCAACCCCCGAAGACAAATAAAAGTCAAATTTATAATAAAACTTATAAGAAGAAGCAATAATAATGAAAACTGGGGGGAAAAAAAAGAAAAAGAGGTACAGGAAGCCCCCAGGTTATGAATGTCCAACTTATGTACAACCATAGTACAACCAAGCCCCATAAAGCCTATTACGTTGAAAATTCATGATAACAAGCAGATGCTACTTTGCGATGCACATCAGACATTAGTATTATTATTACTGCGTTATTACGTTAAAGATGTTTTAGTGTATCTGAAAGTATTTCTTGAGTGTTTTTTAGTGATAGAAAGGTACACTATATACTATATGCTAATGTTAGATACAAACTGTACCTAACTGTACCAACTTAGTACAAAGTTGACTTAAAGACAGACTTAGGAATGAACTCATTTGTCTATACTTGACTTACGTCAGATGGATTTACTACAGGGTCGTTGGGACAGAACTCTGTTGTAGGTCAGGAGCTACCTGTAGTATGCATTTCATGTTGATAATCTGTGTCCCTAATTTACAAGAGATAGGTTCAGTATTTTATTTCTGAAAGCTTTTAGGATCTCTTTATCCCTGGTGTTCTGATATTTCAAAATCATGTGTCTGGTTGCTGTTCTTTCGTTAATCATAGTATTCCATTTAAACTAGAAAATTCAATTTAAGACTTTGGTTTTGATCATTTTTCTTGTTATTTTCTTCCTAGAATGCCTTATTATTTAGATGTTTGACCTCTTAGATTTATCTTAAAGAAATCCATGTATACTTTTTGTTAAATTTTTTGAGTTTCTTGTCTTAATTTCCAAGAACTTTATTATTTTCTTAAAGAAAAAGAAAAACTAGGATTTTGCTCTTGTTTTGTAGCTATAGCTTCTGTTATCCAAATCTGTTACGTTTCTGTTGTTTTAGGGTTTCATGCCTCTCCTAATCGTCTTGTTTGTATCAAACAGCATTTATCTGTGTGTTTGTCCATGCAGTTTTGTCTTTCCTGGTGGAAGCTTACAGAGTTCCAGTGAGCGTTTGCTGCTTGGACGTGAGCTGCTCATCTTTAACACTGGAAAGCTGACTGGGGGGATCAGGGAACCTCCAGCTGTCAGGTTTTTTGTTTTTTGAGGTGTTTTTCTTCAGGGCTAGTCAGGTTTTTTGGTTTTGAGGTTATATCTTGAGGGCTGACCACTTTCTTCAGGGATGGTTTTGAGGTTATATCTTGAGGGCTTAGCACTTTCTTCAGGGAAAGCTCTTCAGTGCGCTCTGTGGGGGTCTCCCGTCTTTCTGGATGCCTCATGGTGGAAGTGTTCTGCCATCCCACAGTTCAGGGGAACACTTGCCTTTCGTCTCCCTGTTTCAATTCTTCCACCTCCTTCCTGTTTTCCACCATGCTGATGTCTCTGAATTCTGAGCTGTTCCAGTTCCATTTCCCAGGAGTAAATCTCCTGTTTCCTGAGAGCTAGGGCAGCTGGCTTTCAGAGAGCTAAAACAGTAGGGCAGGCTGGGAAGCGGCGGGAGTCAGCTTTTGAAGGGCCAGAACAGGTAGGGCAGGCCAGGAAGCAGGAGTGGAGCAGTTTGGAACAGCTGACAGAGATGAACTTGTCAGTCAGTTTATCATCATGTGCTGGCTTGTGTGTTGCTGTGAGGCTGGAGGCTATGCCACTGGTGTTTCAAATGCCAGCACGGTTACCCAGGGTGGATAGTCTTCCAGACTAGGACAGATTTGGAAGAAGGAAGAGGCCATCCACTTCTCAAAGAATTGGCCAGTGAAAACCTTAGGAATAACAGAGAAACACTGTCTGATACATAATTGGAAAACTTTCTGAATAGCCCTGAAACATTGTGCAATATAGTGCAAGAAGATGAGCCTCTCAGGTCTGAAGGCACTTAAAATACAACTGGAGAAGAGTTGTCTCCTCAGAGTAGAGGCGGCCTTAATGATGTGGATAGAGTAAAGCTTTTGGGATTCCCATTTGCTGATGTGGCATATCTCAAGATGAGAAGAAACAGCTGTAAATATCCATTAGTAATCAAAACATGGAATGTATTAAGTATGAATCTAGGAAAATTGAAAGTTGTCAAAAATGAAATGGAACGCATAAAGATTGATATCCTAGGCGTTGTGTTATTGTTTTTGTTATGTGCCGTCAAGTCAGACCTGACTCATAGCAACCCCTCCTTGTGTTTCCAAGGCAGTATCACTATGGAGTAGATTGCCCCATCTTCCTTCCGCAGAGTGGCTGATAGGTTTGAACCGCCAGCCTTCTGGTTAGCAGTCAAGTGCCTTAGGCATTAGTGAGCGGAAATGGACCTATTTTGGCCATGTTGAATCAAACAACCATATGATCTATTATGCTGGGAATGACAAATTGAAGAGGAATGGCATGGCATTCATAACCACAAAGAATGTTTCAAGGTCTATCCTGAAGTATAATGCTGTTCAGTTAATATCACTATTCCTCAAATTTACGCACCACCCACCAAAGCCAAACATGAGGAAATTGAAGATTTTTACCAACTTCTGCAGTCTGATGCAATCAAGATGTGTTGATTATCACTGGTGATTGAAATCCAGAAATTGGAAATGAAGAATCACTGGTAGTTGGGAAATATGGCCTTGGTGAGAGAAATAACACGCAGATTGCATGACAGAGTTTTGCAACAGCAATGACTTATTCATTGCAAATACCTTTTTTCAACAACATAAACAGTGGCTATATATGTGGACTTCACCAGATGAAATACACAGGAATCAGATTGACTGTATCTGTGGCAGGAGGTAATGGAGAAGTTCAATATCTTCAGCCAAAACAAGGCCAGTAGCTGATTGTGGAACAGACCATCAACTGCTCATATGGAAGTTCAACTTGAAGTTGAAGACAATTAAAACAAGTACACGAGAGCCAAACTATGACCTTGAATACATTCCTCCTGAATTTAGAGACCATCTAAAGAGTAGATTTGCTGCGTTG